ACATGTTTCTTTTCCGACTTTAATTCTCGTGTTTTATGTAAAAGGAATCAATTTGTCACAATTAGAATATTTATTTGAAAATGAAGTATTACGTGACTGATTACGCACCGCACACCGCCGCGGTAGGCGGTGAAGCGGATCTTATGGCTGCTCTAATAAATCCTTAGACGCCCGACCGCGCGGGTCTCTTCTGCCGCTTTACCGTCGCCGCCCTCCGCGGCGGTACGCGGTGCCGTGTGTTAATCGCCTTACATAATGACCGTAATAATTTTTGAATAGGTATATATATATTTCCTTCCATATTAATATTTAAGATCAATTTTATATTACAAACAATGTTATTTCCCTACGTAGGATTGAGGGAGTCCCCATATGACCGGAAATTACTGAGTGTATGGAAATTCGTCTATAGCTTTACTAAGCCGACTAGTCATTCATTTGTTGGCGTAAATGTTGGGTATATGTAAACAATAACCTAAATAATACCAAGATAAATAAAAAAAAATAAAAATGGCTCGTTCTACAACCTGTTACTACACGATGGTTTGTTAAAAGGGTGAAATTAAATTTATGTAACTTCTGTAGCATAATATGGCACACTTTTACCAAATATAAGTTCCTAAATAGCAACTTCCTAATTTGTAAGTGTACAATTATTCAACGTCCAAAGAAACGAAACTAAAATGGCGTCTAATTAACACTGGCTTAGTGTCTGCGGCTGCGCATACAATTGTTTGAATTGCTCCGGCGCCAATTTGGATCACTTAACGCTCACACCAAAGATAATAATGCACTCATTGAAACTATGAAACGAATCAACAATTATGTTCAGTTTGAATAAGTAGGTACCCATCATATTTTTATATGCAAAAACTCATTCGTTTACGTAGGTACGAAATTTAATTCATTCTAAATTTTAGTACACTTATAATTATTAATCTCAATGTCAAAATACGTCTTCATTATATTATGTTACGTATATCTATATGCATAAAAATTAATCCCTATATCCCTTGGTCACGCCGTCACGTGTGACCGGCTGGACCGATTACACATTACCTCTATTTTTTTGTTGTGTTTGTCAAGAGAAGGTTTTTAAGACGGGATTGCGCGTACAAAGTCGGGAGCAGAAGCTAGTTATATAATAATTATAGGGTATATGAAACCTCCCCGTCTGAGTTCTCAGCGACACAGGTACGAACTAATATCAAACATTTAATATTTGAATAATTCAAAGTTTTGCTAACTTGCAACAAAGTGCTACTATTAAAATACAAAGTTTAGCATCGTTTCTATTCACTAGCTATGTTAAAAGTTTACCTGTTTGGATCACAATAATATTAATCGAAATTTTAATTATATTTCCTGAATTATAATTATGATCCCTACATATGTACCTACGCATTATTTTAACATGGAATGTATCCACATTCCATATTAATGACGTATTTTAATTATGTAGGTACAATTTGCAGAATATTTATTAAAATAATTTCGATAATCCATTGGTTTTATAGGCACCTGCACATTTTTAAGTACAATGTTTCCATTTAAGATTCCAAATAGTCCAAGTTCAGAGAGAGAGTGCTTAGAGATTTCGCATTATGTACATACGTTTAATGGGAATATAATTTGTATTCAATAGATACACGCTGCCTAATGTCTTTGGCATCTCATTATAAATTCATGGGAATCCATTAATGCTCTTAATAACGTGGAAATCGAATCACAGGTAAGTATGCCTATTATATAGGTATTATGTACATAATTAACTATGTTTGCTCATAGACCCATCTGTATTAAGTATACAGGAATGTCTTATTATTGAGTTATATAAACTAGCCTATTCAAAAAGTAATATAATAAGTATAAGTTTCAACGCCTGTATAACATTGAAATATAAGTACATATAATTGTAATGTCTAGTGACTGGATCCCACAGTCAAACCATTGCAATGGTTTTGTGGGGCTTAGACTATAAAATATAAAACCTTTGTGATATAAAGATAAATAAATAATAATTCATAATAATGTTATGCACTTCCCTTCAGGACATTTATACGCCTTATTTTATTAATACATGCAGGCCAGTACAACCGCTGTCAAACTGATAGACATTATTCCTAAAACAAGGACTTATTGTAAGGAGATTTCATCAAATTATCATTTCAATATTTCAATTGTAATCTTGGTGAATTTTAACCTGGTCAGGCAATCTAAAATCATACTATAAAACATATGCGACCTCTGAATTAAGTTGTATAATTATTTACAAACTGTATTCTTATTATCCTCTCTAAAAATGGAACCAGACATCACCTTCACTAAGTACATTTGACCCCAGCATTGCCAGGCTGACCTCAGTCTCCTGTTGCAGTCAAATCAGACTGATCTCATCCACCTTTTGTGCTGTACTGATTAATTGAACTGACTCATATAATCATGGCGGATGTGTCAATTGATTTTCAGCCTAATTATTGTGATACTATGTCTGGGTTTTGATTGTGTTCATGGTTGATGGCGCTCTGGGCTTGGCCTCATGACGTTAGGAGTGGTTTAACACGATACCAGACAATATTTCATATGATTTGCGTGAGAGATATCATATATTATGTTGGTTTTCCTAGGCAGTTAGGTGCATGTGTTTAAGGTCGAGTGCCTTATTAATACCTTATGAGCCTAGTTAACGACCTACTACCTATATGCGTTTTGTTATAGTAGACTTTTTTATTGAAGTAGTTTTTTATCATTTTAGAATACAGAATTACATAACATCACGCCTTTTTATCCCCGAAGGGGTAGGCAGAGGTGCACATTTCGGCACTTAATGCCACTGTACAATGTAACACCCACTTTTCACTATTTATGTCATGAGTCCCATGTAATAGGGGGTGAGCCTATTGCCATATACCGGGTACAATTCCAGACTCCGTGCTACTACTGAGATTTCTTTTTAAAACCCAGTACTACTTTGCCCGACCCGGGAATCGAACCTGAGGCCCCTTGCCTGGCAGTCGCACTTGCGATCACTCGGCCAACGAGGCAGTCAGAATACAGAATTCTTTTATCTTTTCACTTACAACCTCCAAAGGAGCCTTCACTAAACAATTTACGTGTACTTACTTTAAATATATTGTAATCATTTTTAAGTTTTAATGTACTGAACAATTTATTTCAATGAACGATGAACAATAGGTCTAGTGCAGTTGGTCGGTCGACTTCACAATCATGCTAAGTGCATTTGCACTTACGTACCTATGACAAACTTTTGTCATTCCACTTGCCCAGATTTCCCTTAGGGTTTTATAGTTTTCTTCTGTGTCATAACAGTATTTGACACGTTTTATAAATCAAGAAAAAAATTGTAACTTGCAATTATTGTTTTTTTTATAGTCATTTAATTTCCTCTTACAAAATGGAATACATTCAACTGGATGCAATCAATATTCTTTTTATTCTTTTTATACGGATTTTTTTACGTGATAGGCCGGTAAAAGAGCAGACGGATCACCTGATGGTAAACAATCGACGTCGCCCATGGACACCTGGAACACCAAAGGCGTTTAAATTGCGATACCGGCCTTTTGGTATTAGGTATTTGAGGATTGTTGGGGATTCAGGGATTGGGGAAGGTCACAGAAACAACTAATAAGTTATTGTATACAGGTTGGGTGAGAATGTTAAAATAACACTATTTTATGATGAAGTTTAGCGATTTTGCTCAAGAAAGATCAAACCACTGGCGAAAAACTCACAACAAACTCACTGGCCACTCATAAGGAACTTTTCAATACAAAACCTTTACATACTAATTAAATTTAAGGTTAAACGTACTTGAAGACGGATCGTCAAAACAATTATTCGTCAATGCGGAATCACGCTGCATTACCGGTTTATAAACATTATTACTTTGAATCCGTTGTTTGTCAGACATTGAGTCATGAGTCTGAGACCGTCCATTACTCGATGTTAATTGTAAGGGTCATACTTAATAACCTCATGCTGTAGGAATTGGTGGGACGGATCATAGATACACGAACTGTAGACGTAATCATTTGGTTTTGAGTGTCATTGGCTTTGTTGTAAAGCGTAGTGTAAAGCCAAGGTTACACTATGGGACAGGGCCGGAGAACCTAACGGGTTACCGGGGCTCCGGCTCGACGTGCAGGAGAAGGAATGGGGTGGTTTTTAGTCAGTAAGAGTCTGACACTACCTCCCGCCTCACAGTAGAAATTCGATGATTTAATCCCCTAAAAAAAATTAAAAAATACTATGGAACAAATGTGCTGCGACACGTATCGCCAGCGACGTTGGGTGAAGTATCGCGATTTTGCCGGATTTTGGTCGATAATCCGCGAGCTATCGCCGAATAATATGGCGGTGAAGTCGCCCGACATGTCGCCGATACATGTCTTGAGACATTTTGACCCCTACTCTATCCGTGGCTAGAGAGCTATCGTGAGACATACTAAATTAACTAAAAATCGCGGGTTAATCACGTCAATATATAATTATAATAGAAATAATATTCACGTGACTAACCCTTGTCATCTTGTGACGAATTTAATATTTTCATCGAGTTCTCCATTAGTTGTAACTTGAAATGGATTTGTATATTGCTAACTACATTCATGACATGTCATGTATACGAAGTAGTAGCTGGCTGATGAAAACACATAATAAAGTACCCTATTCTAAGCCAACTACAAAAGATAAATTATCTTTACCCTCCGTAAAGTATTGAAGCAAGGTTTTATTGCCACCGACATCACTAACTTCTTGATTCCTACAAAATGGAGATTTTTTATTCCTTGTTTGACGTAACACATTTACCTACAGCGTTAATTAATTAAGATGACAACATTAAGCCAACCTATTCACAGTCGTTTTTTCACTACAAACTAACTAAATAAATAATGTACCTTATTTTCATTCTTCTCATATTTTTTTGCCCGTGGAAAATGTAATTAATTTTACTAATGAATATTCGTTAATTGTTTCAGAAACAAAATGGCTGACGATATTATGAACTTCACAGACGAGGTCAGCGCTACGGTGGAGCCTAGTGAACTATCCAAGTAAGAACTTTTATATAATTTCTTTACACAAGCATTAACTAATTAACTACTTATTACTTCCTCCTTTTTGCTCTTAATAGAATCGTATAAAAGTAACATTCTCTACTCAAATAAATAGAAATGACATAGCTTTATAATCTTACTAAATCCACCTATCTTCCTTTTCTTTTCCTAAATTGATAGGTAGGTTTATTTCTGTGTTTTAGTAAGCTTACAATAGTAACTACACGTAAGCAAAATGTGCCTAAGTAAACTGGAGGGGACAGGCATTTTCTATGTAACCACATTACTGATGTAATAATTATTTCTATGTAAACACGTTACTAATAATTCTCTCAAATATACGTAAATATCACGGGACCCACTAATAAGGAAGTAATTAATTTTTTTAAAAAATCAATAAAAGAGACTAATCTATATAATTATAAAAGAAAGTCGTGTTAGTTACACCACTTATAACTCAAGAACGGCAGAACAGATTTGGCTGAAAATTGGTAGGGAGGTAGCTTAGAGCCAGGAGACGGACATAGGATACTTTTTACCCAATATTTTTTTTTACTTTTTAACGAAAATCATGGACCGGGAAATATCGTGATTGCGCGTACGAAGTCGCGGGCAGAAGCTAGTATCTTCTAGAAACTAATTTGCCGTCTGTCAGTAACGCGTTTGTTTGAAGTCCTTCAAAGCAGACGTGACCAAGTCATTGTGATCGTCTAGTGTTGATCCTTTCTACTTATTTTCACATTATTGTTTTAGTTACAAACTAACCTTACTTGTTATATAACATAGCCAGAGATAGGCACAATAATATTGTGAGTTTTATTGTCTACGATCTAATCGCAAGAGTTGTTAGCTCCATCATAATGTGTAACCATAATTATGATAGTGGTCGAATACAAGTGTTATTTTTAAAGTAAATATCGAGTGTTTTTCCAGGCCCTTTTCCTAACTATATCGAGGTTGGTTGAGTCTTAGGTAAATATCGGTATTTATAGGATATAGGCATCTGCCACCCTCAAACTGCTTACTGTCGTACTACAAAATTGGTATGCAACCTAACCAATGGTTCACATCATACCAGATCAGATTGGCAACTGTAGACTATTTTTATAACTATAAAAGGTTCAAGGACAAACAAAATAATTATTTTAGTTAAAATACCAGTTCCTATTACATCATAACTTTTACTTCTAAAAAGAACAAAACGAAATACTAATTAAGTTAGACCCTTTGAGTCTATTTTGCAATTAGTACTCCAAACATTTTTTGACTCACATTATTTAGCTAAAAATCCCCTTTTCTCAGTTCAGGATTTGCTATTTTCTTTTCATTTTTACTCTGTGGCGCTGTTGAAATAACGATGCTATATTCATATTTTTTCCCGCTAAAAAGCGCGCTTTGTAAAGCAAAAAATATCTGTGCAAAAATGTTGTTTTTAAAATATCTCGGTTTGAAAATACTTTAAAGTTATTCCTGTCTATAAAACGTGAAACAATCATTAGTATAGAATCGTCCTAGTAAACTTTAATAAAACGACTTTAGATCCTGAGTTCTCATTAAATAACAAAATGATCTTGAATACCTGCTCCTAAGATCTACTTACAGAATTTTCTCAAACACTTAAGTTTAAATAATCGTGTCTCGAAAATTCCTAGAATATTTGACAAAGTTGCTCATCTCTTTTTACTGGATCTTCTATTAAATACATTTACTGTCTCCAAAACTCCGCAGCCATTTTGTAAGTGAAATTTGTGACAGCCACTAGAATGTTACCTTTAACAAAAACTTCTGAATAGTTTATCGACCAGATACAAAACTTGGGAACTTAGAATTACCTTAGATTTTCTCGAAAAAAAAGTTTGGATATATTTTGTGTGTATTATCTAATCTTGTGAGGCATTAGGGCTGGTGTTGGTGAACTAATCCTGCCATTTGCTACATGAAAAAAAAGTTTTAGCTAAAAAACTGTAATGATAACGCAAACTTTTATCCATACATGACTGTAAAGATCTGTTAAGACTTGTAATTTTGTTACAAAGTACAAGTGTGACCTCGAGAGGTTAAATAAGGAGACATTGGCATCGTGATCCTTTTAGCAACGTTCTATCAAAGTGTAAACTCATTCACAGAGATTATTTGCTTGGTGCAGATAAAGGCCATTCAAACTACGAAAAGGGACTAAGGACAGATTTTTCCAACGCCAGATAAATTTTAACTGAGGAATAACCTTGACTGCCTCGGCCGATTGGTCGCAAGTGCAAGGGGTCTCGGGTTCGATTCCCGCGTCGGGCAAAGTATTAGGAACTGGGTTTTTAAAAATCTCAAATGTACCCGGTATGTGGCAATAGACTTACCTCCTATTACATGGGACTCATAACATAATCAGTGAAAAGTGGGTGTTACATTGTATAGTGTATAGCCGGATGTTATGTAATGGAATAATTTTGAATATTTGACAATTCTTCCATACCAAAAACTGACAAATTTCAATTTTATTCTACAGTTAAAAATTTACTGATGATTGAGAAATCAGAGGCCTTAGAGTTTAAAGTAATCGTAACGAGTACGCGTTCGGCGCTTTGATTGGTTGCTTCATTGGCGCCAGCTAATCACAGTGCCGAACGCGTACTCGTTTCGAATACTTTAAACGAAAAATAAACTCGTACTAAGGCCTCAGTCATAAGAAATACTTCTATTTCCTTCCTCGAAATACTCCACGCCTCTTCACACGCAGTTCACGATAAGTCCAACTATAATAAATAGCTCGATTTAATAAGCAATCAGAATATTCATTGATAAGTACGTAGGGAGAGGGCCGGGTCCACGCGCGGCAAGTCATTCGTCAAACGGCTGATGTCAAAGCACCGTACTAAACACATCCTGTGTCAGTACGACACTCCCATATTACAACTCAACAGGATATCGTCGAATATGGCGGATAACCCGGTTATTACTTATTTATATCTGTGTATATATTATTTGACTGTGTGATTCTAGAAGGCTGGGTTTGAATAAAACTGTCAGTCGAAACCTACTAAAATGCACATTTTAGCAATTCAGTGTCTCTTGAAATCAGAACTCAGACTCAATATACCTTTAGGTCCATTATTATATTTCAGTTTTACCTTTATAAACGCACAGATTGTCCCATAAATGAATGGCGAAAAATTAAGCAGATATCAAAATAACCCATACGTACCTAATCCATAATAACGGCAATATAATTAAAGTGGTGACTGCCTCGTTGGCCGAGTGGTCGTAAGTGCAATTGCCGGGCAAGGGGTCTCGGGTTCGTTTCCCGGGCAAAGTATTCGTGTAAGTGTAGTAGTCGGGCAAAGTATTACTGGGTTTTTAAATATTCTCAGTAGTAGCACGGAGTCTAAAATTGAGTCCGGTATACGGCAATAGGCTCACCCCCTATTACATCGGACTCATAACATAAATAGTGAAAAGTGGGTGTTACATTGTACAGTGGTATAATATGCACCTCGGCCTACCCCTTCGGGGATAAACGGCGTGATGTTATGTTATGTAATTAAAGTGGTTTTAAGAACCCCCTATGAAAGCAAAATATTATGAAAAGTCGTGATAATAAAAAAATTGCGTAGGTATGTAAAATACTCTCTTTGATGTTATAGTTTATCATACATATTATTGTATATTACGGGGTATCCCTTATCATCATTATCGATACAATATCATTGATGGAAAACCGATTACCTTAGTATTATTCCGTTCATAGTTCTACAAGCTTTGGAAAATGTTTGACAATCTTTTTGCTTTTTTATTTTTTGACGATGCGATTTGGTTTGCTTCCAGGTTCTCGCCGGGGTTGCTCACCTTTGCTGCCATAGTCACCGGGACCATAATGCTCGTTGGATTGTTTGGCAATCTCCTTACTGTCGTCGCGCTCCTCAAATGCCCCAAAGTGAGGAATGTTGCAGCTGCTTTTATTATAAGGTAAATATTTTGTTCCAATCATTTTAGTAAAGGACACCATCTGTTTGCGCTAGAATTTAAAATGTCCGTTAAAATCAAAATAAAAATGAGTAGAAGGGGAAAATTCCAAACCAAATGAAAGCCATTCCATTAGCATTGAATCGTAGAACACTTAAATGGTTTCTAATCAAAGTTTTCCAATAACCATTTAATCTAACAGTTTTACAACAATAATAATTTTGTACAAATTACCACAAAATGTTTTTGATTGTTGCTTCTGGGAACATAATCCGACAATTTGTGAGGTGGAAAGTTTCCAACTAATTTTATCTACAACTTTTACTTTCACGGGAAACTTTTGATTGTTTAGCCACCCTAAAGACTTCGTTTACGGACTTCTATCACAATTTTTGTTCAACAATATTTATTTCTTCGAAATTTCTTAGTTATCAATTGAAGTATTTTTCAATAGATCAGCTTTACAAAATCTTATTAAGCTTAACATTATAAGTACTATTAGTACATTCATTGAAATAATCGCTGATCGCTTACCATCAGGTGATCTGTCTGCTCGTTTGCCACCTGTTCCATAAAAAAAAACTAAACTAAATATAGTTTAATATAGTGTGTGTAAATGATCGTATAACAACACCTCACACTTTGTATACCTTTCGTAGCAACAACTTATGAGAATTACCATCGCATTGAAAGACCATAATTTGCAATACACCTGAGAAAAGTCGTTTTCCTTTTATTATAATGTAAATCAAAGATTCCATACTTTTATCGTTTTACATACTATGTTCTGTGGTTATATACTACTTATCATATTATCTAAAAGCTCTTTATGAACTTAAAATCAAAAATGTGAATTCGATATCCATACGATGCTGATCGCATACCATTAGACGACGCGTATATCTGCTCGTTTACCCCTATTCTATAAAAAAGTATCTGCAACTTAACTCTAAGAACTAAGAAAAATAGGTAATGCTCGTAGACCGTAATATACCTATGGTACTTACTATTAATACAAAATGACGACAAGCATTGTTACCAAAGTCTTAGTCAAGACAATGCAACAGAATATCATCTAGTACATGTACGTAACACCTAGTACTATAAATACATAACATTTACACGCCTTCTATGTAACATTTAAACAAACAAAGACGAAATACAATACTATTACATCAAGATGACATTCTGTTTATGATACTGCCGTGTGACGTAATGTTAATACTAATAGTTATAACATTCCATAATTGGTCGAAATACATAACAACTAGGCATTTCCAGTAACGCCATAATAGTCTAGTCTAGTAATTTAACTAACTGACGTATGATGTGTGTTGTGTTGTGCGCATAGTTCTAAGAATGGAAAATTGGATTTTGAAAATACATAACATATTACTTTTCTGTTCTGATGATGATGATCGTCTTTAGCGACTATGGTGGGGATCGTGGTCAAAGTGTATGTAGAAGTTGTTATTCTCAAGTCATTGTTAAAGAGTTAAAACTAAGCCTATCTGATTTTTTTAAATAAAACGTTGCCCCATATTTGGAATTTTCTCCTGTGTCGTGGGTGCGTTTACAAACATACAAGTTCACATATACAATGACATTCAGACCCGAAACAACAATTTGTGGATCACAGAAAGTGTTGTTCCGTGCGGGAATCGAACCCACGACACGTCGATTGACATGGGCATGGCATGTTGCCACCTTATTGTCCTTTTTGTTGATTTTTTTTGTTGTTGTTTTTTTATTGTTTATTGATTGTACTACTCTTTTTGTTATGTATTTGGTGCATCATACCTTACAATACGAATTAACTAATTTTCTTTTTTTTTATTTGTTTTAAAAAATTTTTTAGTTGAAGCACTTCTCTCCTATGTCAAGGGTGCTCGAAATCAAATTCGTTCTTAGAGAAAAAATAACTGTGATCTATTGCGTAGCAAACTAATCGTCCATCTACTATAATACCTTTACTGTCGATCATACAACATTGTCGAGATTGTCCACGCCTACGATTTAGGGGAAAGGAGAATGGCAGGTTTGTATGGAAGTTTTGTACCGCTATAAAATTTTGTATTATTCATTGTTTTAACCAAGTGAATAGTCTGAACGATAGATATTTTTATTATGAAGTTTAGAAAAAAACTACATATTTTTAGAACTTGGGGTTCAAAAGTTATTTCACTTTGAAAATGTGCAAAAGGTATGTTAAGGTGGTACCACACTTGACATTGCGTAGTCGCTTCATTTGTCCAAATATTTGTAGACTACGTACAAATGGCGTCCAAATAGTATCTCTATATGTAATGGCGTGCAAATATATAGCAAACAAAGAAGAATAAATCCTCCAAACATGTTCTTTTTTGGCCGAACACAACAAATACGCAACGTCAAGTGTAGAGCCACCGTAAGCAAAATATCTATTACAAATGACAGATGACAGTTAACTGAAAAATGTCAATGTGCTCTCATGTGGTTGATTATTTACAAAAAACAAAAATCTAAAAATACTGCTCGCTACTCAAGTGACTATTACACTTTGTATTATTAGAAAGAAAGAAAGAAAGAAAAACCATTTATTTTGCTACGACACACAACAAGAATTTAGAAACCCAAAAAATAACCTATGGTGCGTCGCAGCGCAAAAAGCAATAAGAAATGATCCTGTTAATTCAGCAAGCATGATGCACCTATAGAGTTTTAAAGAGTATGCCTCACAATCTTTTTCATTTCTTAGGTGCCTACGAAAATGCAAATTCATAATGTAAGCGACTGTCATTGGGTAGAAGGCCTACATTTAGCAGTGGAAGTCTTGTGGCGGATATGATAAAACTAATGTCTCACTTCACCTTGAATCTTGCAGCTAGATAGTCTCAAGGGTCTCAAGTTAATTCGATTTAAACTTAGCTTAGCTCTTTGAGAAAGTATTTCTTCTGAAAACTGGTTGCTTAGCACGCATGTAAGGATTAATTTCTAATAAGTAAGTCAAATTAGTAGAATCATCAACATTTTCATCATTAAGTCTATAAGTGGCCACTACTGACCGAAGCCTCTTCTCGCATGGAGGTTTGAGCATTAATCACCATACTAGCTCAATGTGGGTTGGTAATTCAAACTTATAATAAGAAATTATAAGCCCATGTTTCCTCACAATGTTTTCCTTCACCATTCGTCAGCGGTGTCTTTGTACTTTCTTAGATTATTGAATATACCAATAACTCGGAAAAAAGACACATTGGACAAAAGGTACTTTGCCGTTGGTAGGTTTCGAACCCGCACTCTCATGCATGAGAAGCGGGCTTCTTAAACCTCTGGGCCACCACATTACAACTAAAGAAAATGTAAAATGAAAAAGAACATTTTTGGTATAAAACTAAAGCTATCTAAATTAAATATGGCATTTATTTTATAGATTGATTCTTAAAATCACTTTTATCAAGATGGAATATATAGTTACTTACTAGGTAAAAATAAAACAAATGTATTATTTTGAAATACTTTTATTTCATTGTATTCAGGTTGTTTCTAGGAGTACTTCATCCAAAAAGAGAACAGGCCGTGTCATAGGTACAGCAGACATCAATTGCTGATATCTGTAAACAAGTAAGATAACTGTAAATAAAGTAAACAAAAGTACATTTTTTTCCTTTAGTTTTATATGTTATAATAATAAGTCTGATTCCCTATCTTAAAATGGAAAAGATAAAAATAAATATTTGATTACATTACTTGATTTTATAACATTTATTATAGTTATTCGTATAACACAGATCATAGGAGCTCAAACAGCATGCTAATTAATAAATTATAATTATAACATGAGTATAAACCTATTAGAAACCGCTTATATACTCCACATAGATACATAATTATGTAGGTACATTATATTGAGAATGCATACCTGTTGAAGCTTTGAGAGCCGAACAACATCATCCGGCCTCATCTGTTCTACAAATGGCAATGTTAAAGTGAGGCTTAGTCCATGTTTACATAATACATTACTTCCTGATAGTGAACACTGTGAGGTGGTATGTCAGGTTGTGGTTTTATAGTTTCGACTCTTGTACGGTCTCTCAGTCAGTATGGAACATGATCTTCATCATGGGAAGTAAGCTAAAATAAGTAATATTATTAGAATATGATATTGACTTTAGATTACACTGTATATAGATAATAGTATGGTTAAATTATGCTTTATTACCTCTTGTGGCTGAATCCAATCAAATACTATATGAGCCAGTCTTTACTCCTGTTTGTTGGCGCCTTCAATTAAAACCCTGCGTCACCTTATCATTGCAATGAATCACCCATATACGACACAAACATGCAAGTGACCAATTTGTTTGCTGGACATACTTTCAGCAACATCCCGATACATTGCTAATTGCCAGCAAGCATTGCAAATATGGTCGGTAGGAGAGATCTAGAATAAAAACAATAAAATGATACATTATGGGTAGATAACACTATGCGCCTTCTTTTATTCAGGCAACATGGTGACTTTCGATATGTTATGGGTAAACTAGGTACTTACATCTCTAGGATAAGTCCACATTGGGATATTGTTGACCACGTCTAATCTTCACTCTCATTTTCTAGAGCATGCCGTCTCATGTGCGACAAACTCTGAATGCAATTAATACACTGTAAATTCATCATCGCGACAAATAACAACACACTGCACAAAATAATGTAAGTGTCTTTTCGCAATTGTCACAACAATGATGCCAATAATACCAATTTGGGCTACGGAGGAACGGTTGCCAAACTCAACGTATGACCAGATGAATAAAATAACTTCAAATTCAACAAACACATCATAACATCGCATTTTAAATAAACAGCAATGCGCCAGTATTGACAAATTAATTGTCAATGTCATCAAGACAAATGCCAGTTCAACATTGCCATAATATTCAAGTTTGTTAAAATGTTAATTATCATTAATAATCCGTGTAAACGTAGATTTAGATTGGATGTAGATTTTTATATTTACTTATAAAAATGTTTGAAATGGAAAGGAAAATATTTCATTGATAGATATTAAAATAAATGAGTTTATGAAATAGCGAAATTCAATATGCTCTGATTTCATCTTTACGCATGGCAACTTTGTAAACGTCAATCGCGGTTCGTTTTACGTATAGTGGATTGCTTTTTTTCATTATTGAATATCAGTTTTTCTAGGGTTTCCCAAGTTTTAAAAATCTATTAAATATGCTAACATAACGTACTTAGGAGGTTCTATAATGACCCAATTTTTTAATGACAAATCTTTTTTTAGCGAAGCGGTACAAAATCTGCCGTTCTCCTTTACGCATTATTGTTATCTTTCTGTTTTTCCAAATAGTACGGAAACTTTATAGTTTTTGATGAACATTTTGTTCACTATCGGATAGCTATCAAACATGCGATTAATATAGGGATAATCAACTATTTCTAGAAATAGAATACCTTATTAACCTCCATGTCTATCTAAAATACACCCGTTTGGCTACCCAATAAAGAGTAACTACCCAATATCAACCTCAATAGAAAGAAAAAAATAAATAAAAGACATATATTCAGCACTAGACACGATGCAGCACAAACAAAAATGTTTTTTAGATAGAAAATACAATAAAAGATAGTGTGGCAATGGACATTCATTGACAAATCAAAATCATTTATTTCAATTTGACCAGAAAGGCACTTTTGAACGTCAACAAAAAAATTAAAGTGAATCTATTTGCTCATTCCAAAATGTAGATTCCTATGTAGAAGAACGAGCTTGAAACTCCATAGGTTACTCTTTTTCAATCCGGTTCATAATACAATTCTCTAGTTAGGTATTTTCATCGGCATACGAGTAACGGCGGTATGATGTTATTTGCCCTGTGACCGACAAGGTCCTTAGAAAAGCTCTTCAACTGGTTGGCTGCCGACCGATCGTGATCGATGTTTCACCCTTAAGGTTATAGATACAAAGTAACCTTTTAGGAACTCATCCATCAACATTGTAATCCTTATATACTGTGTATCGATATTGAGGTTCATTGCTAATACGACTATTTTTATGAAGGAGTTGATAAAAGCAAGGATTACTGATGAAAACTGGATCTTACACTGAACCTTAAACAATTTATGTAGGTACCAATGGTATAAGTGTGTAAAAGGAAAAACCAAATTCTGTTAAACCTTTATCGATTTAAAATAAAATTAAAACTTTTCCGTTAACACGTTAAACGCTATGGGGGCAACGGTGACCCATGTTAGCTGAGGATTTACCTTCAACAGTTTTCTATTGCCAGTCAAAGGCTTAAGTGACACTTCCTAGCCAGCACACAATTAAAACTTGGTATGAAAGTTGTATCGATACGAAAGACCTACGGTTTTTTTAAGGGCGAAAAATCATCGAATGTCTGCTCCCGCCTGGGTGAGGCGGGAGGGAGTGTTACTGACTCTTACTGACTAAAAACCACCCTGTTCCTTCTCCTGCACGTCGAGCCAGAGCCGACCCGTTAGGTTCTCCGCGACAAACCTACGGTTTAAAGCACCATTTTAATAATTATTTGTTAAAAATAAAAGTTTGTGCCTGTCCAATTTTTCTGTAAAACCTTTTTTCGCTAGAAAACAGACACGTTTCTATTGAAAACGGTTTAAAAAGACCCGCAATACCGTGCTGAATGACCTCTCTAAACGTTTGACATCCAAATAGGTAACTCGATATTTTCGCATGCCCCAGAAACGTTTCCGCTCTATTCATGGCCCTCAAATAGTATTCACAATACGGTGTACAAAGTATAATGTTCAACAGCACTATACATACAATACTAGACTATATTGAGGTAGATTGATTAAATATTATTTTCAGGTGCCTGAGTGTTATGCACTAAATAATAACTCTAAATAGAGTGGCGATTCTGTCGAACGTAGTCGAAATGTATTTTACTTTTATAAAGAATGTTTACTGCTTTGTTTGGGATTTATTCGTTTTATGAGCCGAATATTGGATATATTATTTTAAACTACGAATGCCTCGTTGGCCGAGTGGTCGCAAGTGCGACTGCCGGGCAAGGGGTCTCGGGTTCGATTCCCGGGTCGGGCTAAGTATTATTAAAAAATTCTCAGTAGTAGCACGGAGTCTGAAATTGTGCCCGGTATATGGCAATAGGCTCACCCCCTATTACACGGGACTCATAACATAAATAGTAAAAAGTGGGTGTTACATTATACAGTGGCATAATGTGCCCCTCTGCCTACCCCTTCGGGGATAAGAGGCGTGATTTTATGTTATTTTAAACTATGTAGGTACACATCGCAACTAATTTCTATTCATCATTATTCCAGTCTCTGCATAGCGGACTTCCTCTTCTGCGCCATAGTGCTCCCATTCGCCATATCTGGGTTCTGGACGCGGACCTGGTCTCATGGGGGTGCACTGTGCAAGCTGGTCCCGTTCCTGAGGTACGGGAACGTCGGAGTATCCCTCCTGAGCATCGCCCTCATAACCTTGAACAGGTAAGAACCTCGTGGGAGGTATTGTACTCAACAAAGATATTCACAACACGTAGATATTTGCCTAAGAATTTGTTGTAAGTAAAACTTTGTGAATAGAGGCTTCAATTTTAGCCCTCTTTCAAAACAGATTTAAGACCTGAAAGCTCGGTTTCAGGATAATAATTCAAGATACTATACTTAAAGTTTTCAACAACGAAAAAGTAGTATCTAAGTAGTTTAGATACTTTGGAGCCTATGGTCTTAATTTTAGATGTTGAAATATTAAACTTAAGCGCTACACAATTTCAGTAAATCGTAGTTAAATTGGAAAAGTTAAGTGCTTTTAATGCTAAATAAAGTTTGCAACACTATTTTTGGCATCGGCAATAGAGGTTTTAGTGACGTGACCTTTCAGTAGCACAAGCATTTTGTAGACACTAGCAGTCAGTTAATTTCTTAATACAATCACGGTGAGTATTCTATCTTGTGGTTAGTATTTTTATACAAGAATTGTGCTTAATATTTGGAAAATCTGTATATTTTATACCTAGAAATATTAGACATACTACTTTATTACACGTAGATTTATACAATATAACACAGTTTCATCCTTCTAAAACGATCAATTTCCTCAATCACATAGCGTCTATCAGGCATAGATATTGACCAATTGAAGTCGTATTAAAATTCGTTAGACACTTCTGGAGTCATCTCACGTTTAACCTTGCGAAACATCATCATAATAGACTAATAGCATTAACAAACCATAGCTGATCGCATAGTGAATTGATATTAGTCCCGGCTATAATACCATGAATAGGTCGAGGATATTACGATGTAATTGTAAAGAGCTTGGTACGAGTATCTACAAACGTGTGTAAGAATAAATTGTTGTCGTATTGCCTCGTTTAAGTGTTCGTAGACTTGTTTGTAAATCTACAGATTTTGTCAACACTCAACAGTCGGTGATTCTACAAAAAAAAAAAAAAACAAAAAATTAACGGCGTCATTATCCTTAAGCCAAAGTTAACAATTCTGCTGATTAAAATACAAAGTTTAGTTTCAAAAAATAAAAAAAAATGAAAAAAAATACAGTCGAATTGAGAACCTCCTTCTTTTTTTAAGTCGCTTGAAAATTGAGCCGTGTCACTGCTCTCACCCAATCCAATAAAAATATAGATGCTAATAAGTGACTGCGATTCTTAACAACGCGGGAGGATAATGATTTGGTTAATAAAAGTTAAAGTTTTTTTAAAGAAACACCTAGTTCTTCCTTACCTATGTCTATCGATTCCAGGTACCTATACCTACATTATTCTGATCATACCTAAATACTACATCCCATTTTATCAAGGCACATAGATGTTACGAGAAAATAATGATCAGTCCACCAAGCAAACTTTGCTTAGCATTAGCAATAACACCCGTTGAACATCGCACCTCTAAACTAGTCAATAACAATTTTTCATAGAACTAATTCGCCTCTATTGTTAGTTTAGTTAACAAACATGACAGTTACATGCGCACTAAAGCACAAACATGCTCGTAAATAATGCATTGCACATTAATTTCGATTCACAACTATACTGAATGCAAATTCTGACATGTTATTGTCTGTAGACCATAGAGGTCGGCAATCACAACGCGTGTGGTCCGACCTTTTTCCTTTGCCAATGTTTATTAAAACAATAAATAATAGTCTCTGGATTCTAATGTTTAAAAATAGAAAGCGTATGTTTCGGTAAACTCTGTATAAAGAAATTCGTGATGTGTAATGTGTAAATGTCATTCCTAAATAGGATTAAGTCCATTGACCGTGGAGTACACGTGTCGTTTCTTGACTTACATTGAATAAATAACGAAATTATTGGTTGATATATTTATTTCACTGAGGTAGTTGAATTGTGGCAGATTTATTCATGAATCATTTGTAACAAAAATACATACAGAGTTCTAAATGTAGCAGAATATAAATAAGTATTTCTATTTATTGATGAAAACATGCATTATAAAACAGAACACATTATAACTGTACTATGTGTTCTGTATACATGACAATAGAGCCCAAAGTCATATACCAATTTATCATTATTGACTCTGCATTACTTAGAGTTACTAAGCCTACAACAAACGGAATCTACATAAGTTTCCGATAATCAGGCACCCAAGTCATACAAAATTTTATCAGTCTTTAACTAAATTAATTAAAATCGCGGGTTACTCACGTGAATATACTGAGAAAAGCTCTACTAGTTTCGAACCACAGAGGGGTTCTTCCTCATGAGCAGCTGAGCTGCGCGACGTCGCTGCGACCGCGCACGCTGTAGAGTTTTTCTCAGTATATTCACGTGAGTAACCCGCGATTTTAGTTAATTTAGTATGTCTCGCGATAGTTATTATCAAAACAGTCTTTAACTACATACTTATAACAGCAGTAACTTGTATTAAAATGATTATTTTAGGTACATAATGATAGCGCACCACAGCTGGTACTCCCGTGTGTACCGCAAGCACAACATCGCCATCATGATCGTCTTTTCGTGGATGTTCTCTTACGGCATGCAGATACCAACCCTTGTTGGAGTATGGGGTAAGTTAAAGCTATCAAAGGCTATAGTACGATTTTGATTTAATGTTTAAAGTAATCGAAACTAGAACGCGTTCGGCGCCGGTGCCAATGAAGCAACCAATCAAAGCGCCGAACGCGTTCTCGTTTCGATTACTTTAATCGTAAAATAAACTCTTACTAAGGCCTCTGTTAACGGTTTATGTAGTCTCCAAAGAATCTCTATAGAATATTATGAGTCTGTTGTTAATCTCCAATTATACGACTGCACAATTGGTGCGGTGGCTGGGCAACCGACTGCCGCACAATGTATAGCGGGTTCGATTCCCGGATTATTATACATTATCCACGGAGCCATGCACTGAGCAATTCTTTGTGTGATCCACAATTTGTTGTTTCGGGTTTTAGTGCCATGTGTATGTAAACTTGTATATTTGTAAACGCACCCACGACATACGACAAAATTCTAAAGTTGGACAATGTTTAAAAAAAAACCTTCGTTAAGTTACACTTTGTGGGATAAAAAGTATTTTTCTTTCTTTTCTCTAAGTTTTATTTATTCTGTACTTCTTCGTGAAAAAGCTACCCCGAATTTCAAATAGTAAAAGAAAATTAGCGAAAATGGTCTAGCTTTTCTCGAGTCTAGCTTTACCTAGAACTCTAGAAGGATTTATGCTAATTTAATTCTGATAGAAGAATCTCTGCATCCAGAACTTTTTACATAAAACAGTAATAAATACATTTCCTCAGGTAAATTCGACTACGACCCGGAATTGGGAACATGCTCTATAATGCCTGATGACAACGGGCGTTCAGCCAAGACTGCTCTCTTCGTCATCGCCTTCATAGTCCCAGCCCTGCTGATCTTCATATGCTACGCCAGGATCTTCTGGGTAGTACACAGGTAACATTCACTTTCATTATAAAACAGTCAGTCTGAGGATATGCTGCGTGATTGGTATAGTATGATTACAAAATGCCGGACATAATGCCACAAGTCGAATTTAGAATTTAATATCTAAATAAATAATAGTAATGGTTTCGACCCTAATAATCACTCTGCAATTACACGTACGGACGTACTTACGGTCACTGAAGTACTGAACTGAATCATGTGACCAACAAGGTAACATAAGATTATATTATAATCTAAAGGTACAGCAGTGCCCCCGCCAAGTCAAGCGCGAAGCATAATATGGGTACCTGTTACTATGTGTATTTAAACACTATTGGCTATGTGCGTGACGGTGGCGACGCGTAGCGTTTACACCATTTGCGGAAGCTGTCAAATAATAACAATGTAAACATTATAATTTTCTTTGCAAATATAAAAAAACCAAAGATGAAAATAGTATTGTTGACATTATTTAAGTGCAATTTATTCAATAGTTTTACTGTAAAACGAATATAATAATAAAAACCGGGTTCGCATCATCCGCATTTGTTTCCAATTTCTGTCGTGTTGTGCGCTGCGGTCGTTATCTGTCCGCCACTACTCGCTTTGCACATAGCCAATATAGTACAAAAACTGTATGAGCAGGAGCACCACTAAAGCACGTAGGTACTAGCACGTACCACCAAAAGTCGTCTGTAGTTACAGATGACGAGTTTTGCATCACAACTTCATGCATGTGTCTAGCCAATTTATAGATGTAGTCACATATTGATGTTACGCTATTATAATCATTATGTCTATATGAGAAGACAATGCTAAACATTACGGCGATTGAACAAAACATTAAACGGCACGAACAGGAAACACGTTTGAACGGCTCTAAGCCACGTACACCTACAAAGTGTAATGATAAACATAGTTCTGTATAGTCTATATGAGCCTGGTACCTGAAGCTGTTGGCCAAAACTACGTTTGAGTTTATTTTTATATAAATGCTTTGATTCCAAATAATTTGTAGCTACGATTTCAATAGCAATTAAAAGAAGATTGGAAAAAATGACAATAGTATGACGTCTGAATACTATTGAACAGGAGGTCTACTCCGGTTCTCAAATGCGAAGTTTCGTTTGATTTGCGGCCGCAAACAACGTTACCTCAAATAAATAAAAAAAAATATTACGTTTGGTAAATTACGTTGAGATTTACGTTTAGAAACACATTATAATCGAAATTTGTTGAAGAAATTCTTATTGCAACTAATAAATGAGCTGGTAAAAACCAAGTATTCCGAACTCCTCTCCAAAACAACATAGGTATAAAATGATAGATAAGATTTGTCTGACACTAAAGAAAATTAATTAAAGAACATTTCAAAAGGTAAGAGATACAAGGAAAGCTTGCAAAGAAAATGGTGAGAAGGCTGTTTAAACTAGACGAGACTAAGACAAGATATAATGGACTGTATGCGAAGTAGGACGAGTCTGCTCATCATAACTTAGCCGCGGGGGACAAATCCCATTTACACTTTCATACCATTGCGGCCTAAGATGAATGTGATATGACATTACAGGAATGTGGAAACCCTTATACTTTATAAGTAGGAGGATATGACGACAATGTGTCCGCTAAAAGTAAAGTTATGCTATTTATTGCTTAATTATATAGATTGACTGGCTCGTTGGCCGAGTGATCGCAAGTGCGACTGCCGGGCAAGGGGTCTCCGGTTCGATTCCCGGGTAGGGCAAAGTATTACTGGATTTAAAAAAAAATCTCAGTAGTAGGACGGAGTCTGGTATTGTGCCCGGAACATTTCAATAGGCTCACACACTATTACATAGGACTCATAATATAAATAGTGAAAAGTCGGTGTTACATTGTACAGTGGCATAATGTGACCTCTGCTACCCCTTCGAGGATAAAAGGCATGAAGTTACGTTATGTTATGATACAGATTTTTTAAAAGTATCAATTAATTTTTAACTTGGCACAATAAAACGTTCTGTAGCTTTGGAAAAAACAAAGACCAAGTACTAATATAAAACACACGTTATTCTGGACCTGGGTATATTCTAAAACTGCAATCACTCTTCGGAGCCTGGTCGATTGAAAAAGGCGTCATATACCCATATGTTACATATTTTTTTATAACGTTTATTTGTGTATAATGTTCACAGTTCAGAGCAGCGTATGAGGGAGCATCAAAGATCCCAGCACACGAGCCCTGGTACTCTCAACAATAGCACTGACAAGAGATCTACCATCAAAGACAATAGGGAGACGAAGGCCAGGCGTAACGAGTGGAGGATCACTAAGATGGTGCTGGCCATCTTTCTGTCTTTCCTCGTCTGTTACTTGCCCATCACTATCGCGAAGGTAGCTGACAACCATGTGCATTACCCTGGTAAGTTTGTATTTAGTAGACTTAGCTTAGATTATGAACATGACAAAAGCATAAGTATCACAGCGTTCCTCACGGATTTCGGTTAAAAGTTGGTGGGAGAGAACACTAAGGAAGTTGATGAGAATTTAAATGCAAATACAGGTTTCACTGCGTTTTAACTCGTCGAGTATTTATAGACACAATTAAAGAACAATAGGTTGCGGTCACCGGTGACCGCTTGTTGTTTGACAGTTTAATGTCGAGTAGTTCATCATTTCAAATCCCTCCTAGTGAACTGCAGTATCATGACAAGTTCGTCTTATTGCGTTGATCCACCCTCATATTTACTTTTGATTCCAGTGTTCCACATCACGGGCTACCTTCTCCTGTACGCGAGCGCATGCGTAAACCCGATCATCTACGTGATCATGAACGCTCAGTATCGTGCTGCGTACGCGGCCGCGCTGTGCTGCCCTCTAGCCAGACTGTCAGGCCTCACCAGCGGTGCGTATCCCTCCTCGCCGGTCGCATGCCAAGCCGTCAGGAAGTCGGAACGCACGTCGGCTCTCGCCTCATATATCAGACCGTGAAGGTATCATTCGATGCAACGCGCTACTGGCAATGGTCGCTTTAGGGTTATGGTGTTTGTTTGTACAATGTAGTTTGTTTAATTTTCATAATATCGTTGTGTGTTAAAATGTTCGTGTTTTTTATTCTTATGTACTAAATTATAGCTCAGACATACCTATGCTGTAAAATGTAGTTTCTTTATCCTTATGTCATTGCACTTCGTTTCAGATTATTATTAAAAAAAAAACAATATATCTGAATCGTCATAAAGATATCGAACTATTACCATGCAGCGCCTTGTATCATATTCATAGTCTCATTAACTGCATATCCAAAGTGCACGACTTCCAAGTTTTACGAGAGCACGATTCACTATTCTTACGATGTTTCTTTATACACACATTCACACTTCCATTGAAGTTCACTAACCTTGCCTTGTATCAATAATCACACACGTTCCAACCCCTGTAACAATTCCTTACAACAATTAACTAGTCATTTATTCTTTTTAGAGAAATGGAACGAGCGTCACGGGTACAACTACAACAACACACAAACGGCGCTCAGCCAAGTGTCACTGGGGGAGTCGAGAGTCGACCCTCGGGGCACCCTGGCGCCTGCAGGCCCTGGCGGAAGATAAGTGCCAGGTCCCCAGACTCTCACAGCGCTGGCCCCGCCCAAGGCATCGGACCGGCCACAGAGACTGTCAGCTTCGGGCCAAAAATAGGAAACAGACATTCTGGACACAAAATAGGATCACTACAAAGCATTAATGCCAAAACTGACACTCGACCTCAAATAATGGGGTCTCAACAAAGTATTGGTGCGAAGTCTACTGGATCTGCAATCAGACCTCTGACGGGATCTCAGTTAAGTTTAGGGCCTAAAGTCACTCGATTCCAGATCGACGATTTACAAAGTGATAGACAAACCAATGTATAGCGACTTGTCGCTCATTTATAGACATACCAAAGATATTGTAAGACTTATACCAAATATTTTATTTTGCATTTTATGAATTTACTTAAATGGATTAACGTAATATGTAACAATATTTTATAAATAATTTCACTTAAATCCCTTCAGCATTATTGCGGGGGAAAATGCTCTCTTAATTTTATTATATAATTTATTTTTACATTATCGCAAACAATATCCGTCCTGTAATGAGCGACAAGTAGCAATATTCGATATAATATTAATTTGTAAATAAGGTGACTTCTAGTAAGTAAGGAATATTAATGAAAGAATTGAGTTTTCTGTCTTCCAAAATACTCTTTGTATCTATGTATAGAAGTATAGTGGAGTAAAAATAGGTTGTGTGCTGTCGACATAATGCAGAGTGCCTTTAAAATAGATAGTAACTATTTAGAAATACAAGTTTAACCTGAAATGGGTACATTTCTTTATTTTATTAGCCTACGGCAGCATAAAGGTTTAAAGAACCTATATAAAATGTACTGGGCATCCTGTATTTCTACTTTTATAACTACATTCCGTACTTTTAAGCATTTCGACTAATGAAAACAGATTATTGTAAGTAAGCATATTTAAAAATATCGTTAGTGAACTACATTCCATGTATGTAAAATCACGGCCAAAGATATAGCTATAACGTTTTTAAATAAAATGTTAAACTATTCTATTCCACTACCAAATCATGTAAAAAATAGGGATGATGGAATATGAAAATTTATTGTTCGTTAATCTAAGTACTGGTGATTTTTTTTTTTGATTCGAATATACCTATTGTACACGAATTTTTAATTTTAATTCTTTCTTTTGTTTTCTCTGATTGGTCACTTCATGTCACGCTAAAATGCAAGTCTGAAATAACCAGCCGATATCTTTACCGCCTACCTACTGTCATTCGAAATATTATCCTATATTACCACGGAATATCTATATTCCGGAATATCTTTATTCCGTGGTCTATATTCCGTGTATATTACCTAGCCATATAAAAATATTTTATATCACCAAATTCAAAACAAATCTATATCAACCTCTAGAGGTCATCTCCTTTCCGTGTCTTAATTAGTCCACTTTACGATACGTAATGACAATTTTATCAAAATCATTTTTTTAATTTTCATTTTTCGACTGTAAGAGCTTTTATGTTTTTATTCGTCATCTATTTGGACGAAATATGTAGGTAACTACCGCCACTTTTTTTTAAATGGGGGAAAATCATCGAATGATTGTTCCCGCCTGCGTGAGGCGGGAGGGAGTGTCAGACTCTTACCGACTAAAAACCACCCCGTTCCTTCTCCTGCACGTCGAGCCGGAGCCCAGGTAACCCGTTAGGTTTTCCGCGCCACTGACGTCATAACTTACCCATAGACAAATATTTCAAGCGTGACGTCATTCGTTATTTCAACTCCATGTTGGTATTGCCATATTTTGTTTGTTGATTGTATGACAAATAAAATATATTTTTTTTTGTTTGATGTTTCGATTTTAGGTCATCATCCCTATAATTTATATTGTAAAACTAAACAGTATTTTGTATGAATTTAAGTTTAATATTTAATATTGTTTGTTACTAGGTACTACACCAATATGCCATATTATTTAAGGAATTATATGAAAATAATAAATTAATTTGTAAATAACTGGTTGATTCGTTATTTATTATTTTTGTTCATACTTAGCTTACCATGTAATGTACCTATAATATTGGAATTCAAAATATCAAAGGTTGTTGAAAAATTATAATACGTGTTTTATTTTTATTTGTTTTATTGATCCTTATTAGTTATGTGTCCCAAATATATATTTTAATTCGTTTTAGAATAAGAACCCCCTACCTTGTAGGTATACACCGTAACATCACGCCTTTTTATCCCCGAAGGGATAAGCAGATGTGCACATTACGGCACTTAATGCCACTGTACAATGTAGGTAATGCCCACTTTTCACTATTTATGATCAGAGTCCCAAGTAATACAGGGTGAATCTTTTGCTATATACCATGCCGGGCACAATTCCAAACGCCGTGGTACTACTGAGGTTTTTTTTAAATCCAATACATCTTTGTCCCGGGCAGTCGCACGTGCTTTCACTGGGCCAACGAGGCAGTCAAGGCTTGTAGATACACGTAGCTGTTAAAAGAACAATTAAATAGGAAATGAATTAATTGTAGGTATAGTAGGTACTTAATACTAAACTGAAGTTCCTGGATTCTCCATTATTCAAAAGTGTTTTATTTTTTTTACACCGATGTAATCCACGTAATAGTAAATTCAAAACCATTAATCCTACGAAAGAAAAGGACGAACTAATAAAGCTAAGACAGAGACAGATATATTATAAACTTGCCATAGACGGTGTTGCCTACCATTGTGAAACTTTATCCACGTAAAACAAAAATAAGAGATTTCTTATCTAAAGTGCAATCACTTCTATATAATTTACTGTAGATATTTTTTTCGCTGAATTCATTTCATGTATTTTTCCGTTTTAGTAAAAATGTTTTTTAATATTAAATTTTATCAACTCCCCTATAATACTTTTTATTTTTTTTACATATAATTTGTAATCTTTTATTGGCTCTTGATAGATTTTTCATTTTCATAAGTCTTCGTTTGGATACTATTTTCAAACAATTAATAAAATCGCCACACATATAAAAACACTGCCATTTCGGTGCTTCAATCAGTAATTTCTAAGTGATATTATTATTATGTCCGCCTTTTATTCATCGTGTGGTGTTTGTACCTACTATAATAAATATTTTTTTCAACCAAAAGTTATTATTTACACAAAATTCAAAGATTCTGTACACAATTTATAAACTACAAATCTTTATTCTAAAAGGCTAAATAAATAATATATAACACAAACTATAAACAGGTTTCGTTCGAGACATTGAAACAAAATCATGTTTCACAAACCATAAACATAGAAAAACTGCATAAAAAGGAACGCAGCTGTTACTAACGTCAAAGTGAATTGACATTTCAGTCACTAACAAAAGTGACATCGTAGGAATTTTATTTTACTGTCATTCGAAACAAATTATTGTTCAAGCATGTATGCGACAAAGCAATAATTATTTAATATTGTGATTAGTTAAATAGATGTATTAAGTGATGTTTCCACAATGAGCCTTATTTATATTTAAACAACTAACAGTTCTAGTGGTGTGCATTTGATGAATTTAGTGTAGTGTAATTGTAAAATACAAATAAAAATGGATGTCGTCGGCAGCGAAATTGGGCAGAAAATGCGGGTAAATATTGAGAAATATGCTTAGATCATACTTATAATTGTTTATACTGTGTGGTGTGTTAATATCTGTATATAATTTACTTGAAATGTAGAGTATATATATCGTAAATACCATGTGATAAAAGTGATATTTACCGTGTTATATTTTGACACAGTTAGTAAGAAAAGAATGGTTGATGTGTGTATTGATTATTGATATTTTACTTTCAGTCTGCCATCAAGGCCAAGCTGACTGAATTAGGGTGCTATGTTGGTGAGTAAAACTTAATTTATATTTACTAATAATGGTCTGTATGGCTTCATTTCGAAATCGCATACCCAATTTGGTTCAAAGATGCATGTGTTATTTTTTTCTTATCCATTTAGCCAAAGTAAACACCATATGTAACTTTGTAAAGCTCTTCTTAAACATTTGAACTATGAATTGTAATTTATTGTTGCAATACCTGTCCATTATTAAATTGTGAGTGGGTTTTTATAGCATGTGGTATTTTTTATGTTGTTTTTATATAATATCTAATTGGAAATTATTATATAAAAATAAGCATAAACCGTCTACACTGTTGACCATTTACTTAAAACTAGAAACACAATAAAAACATAATACTCTCTAATAATAAGTATTTAACAAATGAAAACATAATTTAAAAAATACCACAAGCTATAAAAACCCGCTCACAATTTAATAATCAATAATGAGCTATGAAAACATAATTTAAAAAATACCACAAGCTCATAAAATCTTAGTTAATCTATCCAGCAATTGAAATCCAAAATAATGTAATAATTTTTGGTAAATGTCCATTTAAGGTTTTGACTGCCAATAAAAAACTGTAGACGACAAATCCTCTGCTAATATCAGTCACTGGTCCCCCAATGGCATTTACTGTGTTAATAATTAAAAACCTATGGTAACAGCTTTAACCAAAACTGAAATAAAAACACCACACATATTTCTAAAAGTATTGGTAAAAATAATAACACACAGTCATTAATTTTTGTTAAAGCCATCAAACCACCTTCAAGACGAGATGTAATGTTTCAGTTTACATTTTATTCACCTAACTTAACCTTGAGCTAGTGACCATAACATAAAGACCACATACGCAAACTTTTGCATTACAAGTTTGTCTTGTTAAGTGTGATTCAAATTATAATTGGACTATGTAGAAACATTCCAACCCAAGTCACCCGAAATCAAGATAATATGATCTTACTACCTTTTATAACAGCTAGTGTCAAATTAGCATGTTTCTGCATAACTACGTCCCATTGGAAAAACCTAGACATGGTAATTATCTTCAAGCACTCAGATAAGAAGACTAACTCTGTAAATTATAAGTAACTTGCTCTGCCTGCACTGTTTCAGCCATTCTGGTCAGCTGCTATTAATATAGCCTTTCTCGATAAATGGACTAATCAACACAAATATATTCAATTTGAACTAGTGGTTCCGGAGATTAGTGTGTTCATACAAACAAACTCTACTGCTTTATAATATAACAGTACAAGATTAACTATTGTGTAATTAGCTCTGTAATAGTAAAAAAGGAAAAAATTACAAACTGAGATGCTCAAAGTTGAAGCATTTATTTCAATACATTTCCAAAAAAGTTTACATGTCCATAAATGTTATTTTTATATTAAAAAGGTTTAGTTTGAAGGAATACCTGAGGTGAATGCCTCTTCCATAGAATGCCATCTTTTGCGGTATTTATCCTTAAATACTAAACACTTGATACATCTTCATTGAATGTTCCATCACTCTGTCAATCAGTGAAGCTAGGGTCCAGTTCCAAAATGTACTTAACTTACTCTATTAACTCTACTGTTAGAATAATGAATTACAAAACCTCCTTCTAATTCATTAAAAACTAAATCTTATTGTGTCTACATTTCTTATTCCTCAGATGACGAATTACCTGACTATGTTATGGTAATGGTAGCCAACAAGCGCACTCGAGCGCAGATGGAAGATGATCTACAATTGTTCCTGGGTGACAACACTGAGCTGTTCGTCAACTGGCTACACCAAGTATTAAAGAAACTGCAGGAAGTTACTGTAGCCACTCCTCTCAGTAAGTAAACAGTTACATTTTTATAACAACTATTGTGAGACATACTAAATTAACCAAAAATCGCGGATTACTCACGTGAATATACTGAGAAAAGCTCTACTAGTTTCATAATAACATCATCCAGCGCGCCGCCGCCTGAGTTGGAAGCAAACGCTCGTAGTGTCCGGTAGACGGCGCGTTGGGCTCGTAGCGCAAGTAGCAACACCGATGCAAGCGCCAGCGCTAGTTATTAGGCTGCACGACATCGCCGCGACCTCACACTGTTCATGAGGACGAACTTCTGTGATTCGAAACTAGTAGAGCTTTTCTCAGTATATTCACGTGAGGAACCCGCGATTTTTAGTAAGTTAAGTTACATTTTTAACTGAATCCTTAATAAAATCAATATGTAATGTTCTCTTAGTTTATTACATTAACGGTTTGGACATGAGGCAAAGAACCCAAGTAATAGCATTGCCGTAACTACACCAGTTTGGATTCCAGATTTCGGGTTAATATTAAGAAATTTTAAATATCAAACATCCTAATAGTACTGAACCCAATCTCGGAATAAAACCACAGACACCTTGCTCTACAATTGTAATTTGGCTCAGTCACCACCACCTTTGTATTTAGTTAGTTACTTATTTAAATACCACATTTTCCACAGAAACAGTAGAACGCGAGAAAAGCAAAGAGAGGTCGGATTCGAAAGAGAGAAAAAGTAAAGAAAAGAAGACTAAAGATAAACAAAAGAAAAGTGATGTGAAAAAGTCAAAGAAAAAAGATAAAGAAAAGCTTTTTCGTAAGAAAGACGATAAGAAAATTCACAAGACTAAGAAAAAGAGTAAACACCACGATATAATTCGGCCGAACATACCGCCTTTACTTATGAACATGGAGAAGGAATCTGAACCTTCAATTACAGATGTGTTTGCTGGCCAAATACTAAAAAACCATGGGATTACTCTTGAAGTAACTCAAGAAGAAGCAAAGCCGGAGAAAAAGCCAGTTGTAGTGGAACTTAAAAGGCCAATCCTACCTATAATAGACCCTGCTACAATATCTTCACAACCAGAACAATTAGAAATGGAAGAAGATTCTAGAAGAACTAGTGTATCGTCTCTCGGTGCCCCAAAAGAAGATCAAATTAAAGAAATAAACCAAATTGAAGCTAAGATACAAGGGTTAAAGCAGAAATTGGCAGAGCAACTAGATTCAATGTCAGATGATGAAGACTTTTTGAATATTAGGACGGAAGCTGAGGAGTTGATGAATGATTTCGCTGAAGATGTGTTTCAGGTACATATGTTTTCTTTTATTTTTTATTATTCAATGCACAGTATGAATAATACGCCAAGACTTTCATAAAGAATTCGTTTTCGCCAGTTATACGTTCCATGTGACAAGGGCGAGCAGCTGTTTATACACCAACTGCAATTAATTCCAGACTCCTTGCTATCGCTTGCTATTGCTGCTTGCTATGAGAATTTTACCACAGTGCCATCTCTTAGAATCCTTACATACTTCTGTACTAATTTTACATTCACTATCGACTAATAAATACAATGTAATTTATTTTGATTTCAGGAAATATCACAACAGGCGCCACAGGTTTCAGCCACAGCCACAGTAACTCCGCCAATGGAGCGGTCCAAATCTTCTAGTCCCCCACCACTCCCTAAACCCGCAGAGCCCCCTAAAGAGCTCACAAAGGACCCCATAGAGACCTTACCACAAATAGAACTCAAACTCCCAAAAAGACCTGTAAGAGACAGATTAGGAATCCGAGAGGAACCGAAAAAGCCTGAAACAAAGGAAAAAGAAGCGAAGAGGACAGAGAGTCCTGAAAGGTTGTTACATTGCAAATTTGAGGTAGTGCGATTAAATATGTCAGCTAAACTAATTATTATTATTAAATTGATGTTGTTTTTCTTTGTTGGCCATTATTTTTTTTGTTGACAGAATGTTGTTTTTTTTTTGTTGACAGAATTTGGCATCTTGGATTTGATTCCCATATAAATTCATTCTCAACTGAAAACTTGTTCATGGCTAAATTACTCTTACTTACTTAATTCGTTTTTTTAATTGGCATATTTTTTTAAAACTACTTATTTTTTATTTCATTGATGATCTATTCCTTATTCGGGTAATATAATAATGATATATATTTCAGATTCACACCTGAACGAGAACCAAACTTCTGGCCCCAAAATAAATCAGCCAAGAGTCGGCTCGGGGAGCATCCAGATGCTTCGAAAAGAACTTCTGTAACCGAGGAGAAACCGACAGAAAAACCTGAACCACAACCTAAAAAATTAACGTCTAAGTGAGTATTGAGACTTATATATGATTTTAATATTTACATTTCATTAAAAAATTTAGTCTGGTGTTTGATTTTGATAATAATATCAGTTTTCTCGTGGAGTCTGGTCAATTGCTTCGAGATTCCATGGCAATGGCAACTAACTGCTGACAATTTTTATTTTAAACTAGCTATTTCCACGGTGTCACTCGCTTTGCTCGGCTTCTACTAATCGTATCGTGATGTTTTATAGCCTTACTCGATAAATGAACAAAAAAAAATTTTTCAAATAGGACAATAGTCCTTTAGATTAGCGCGTCAAACAAACACTTTATCTTTGTATAATAGTATAAGATTAACGAATATCGAAATATTGAAGGTGTAAAGAATCATGTCTGTCATTATAACCATACTTAATATGTATAAAGTATTAAAAATTGGTCCTAACATAATAAGCAAGTTGTCACAATAAGAATTCATTTCCGGCTTACAAAGAATTTTATATTAACACCAAACTTTGTTGTGTAGTTACGTCATAATAGGCGGTTGGTAAATAGAAGCGGAGTCATAATAAATCGATTCTATTGTATTTTATTCGACTCGTTTAACTTGAGCAGACCTCTTATTCGACAATCGCACTTTGACTTCGTTAATGATATATAACTCTATGTAAAAGTATATAATGTATAGTTAAAAGTGTTTGATATTCCTACAGACAATTAGTTAAGAGTATTTTACTTCATATTATAACATACGCCATGTCTTCCCCCAGGGTGTCAGTGCTGGAGAACCGTCCGAGTCGGTCGAGCTGTGCGAGCGTGGTCCGCGTCCGGCCGCGGCCGCGGGTGTCGACGCCGGCCAACAGTTTGTTGTTGCGCGCTGTAGCCGACGCTCACAAAAGCTTGCTCAATGTAAGTACTCTTAGATTATAATTATTATGCTGTAATTTTAGACCTATGCTGTAATATAATATAAACTTAGTACATCCCGTATATTATCCGGTGACCAAGCGGTCACCGGTGACCACTCTCCACTAACTACATTATAGACCTTATTTCTAATATTTAGAGACTACTCTCCTTAATTTGTTCATACAAATTTCATTTTTTTTTTCATACAAATGAACAAATTAAGGGGATGATTATGTCGTTGAATAATCGGGTCTAATTTTTATTATAATTATCGCCAAAATAACAATAAATAATTAAAAAAGAACTTGTGATTTGAATATTACTCTTTATATGTCGCGGGTTCGATTCCCGCACGAACAACACTTTGTGTCATCCACAAATTGTTGTTTCGGGTCTGAGTGTCATTGTGTATGTGAACTTGTATATTTATAAACGCACCCACGACACAGGAGTAAATCCTATTGCGGGGTAGTTTTTTCAAAAAAAAACTCTTTCTATGACCAATAATGACCATGCTAGTGGAATTAAGTCTGCATTGTTTATCTTACTTCTTACTTAAAGAATAACATTGTATGCATACTATAGGTAAATAAATTATTAAAACTTTTAGTATTTACAACTGGTTAAATACAACAACAATAATTAATGTTATATTTTTCAGGCACCACCTAAAGTTGATACAGAGCCACAGATAAAACGCGCACTAGTGCTGCCGATGCGGCGATGTGTGGAAGCTCAGAAGATAGTCATACAAGTACCTGCCGACACATCACAGATGGACGACCGGGGCGACAGTATTAGTCTTGGAGACAATGATAGTGAAGATGAAAAGAGTTCCAAGTAAGTTTCTCAATTTCATTTTATCGCACTGATATTTTGAAATCATCATTTATATGATCACTATTAATAATACCATCCGTCATCATTATTATGCTGCTTCCATCCTCTGCTATGCTCAGCTGTGGATGGAAAAAGAAAACAGTACTAATTTAGACCCGATTTTAAAAATATTCAAACAATTGTAATAACTACAACCAGAACCTAACTGTGATATTACTCATTGCTTAAGAGATGAGAAACTAAATTATTCAATGTTCACTTTTCAGAGTAGCGAGTGATGTAGATAGAGAGGAGTATATACCGGCTCCCATCACAAAGAAGATCATCAACAGCGAGTACACGCCCTCGAAGAGGAATGAAGGCAGGACTGCCAGCAGGAAGGACGACACACTCATTATAGAGACCATGTAAGTTACTAAACAATATAATAACATGACGTCACACTGTTTAGTCGCCGAACGGATTGGTAAAAGTGAACTGTGCTATGTAGTACCCAGTTATTTAATGAGTCTTATAATATAATGGGTTAGCTTCTTGCCATATACCGGGCACAAATCCAACAATATTTTGGCTGACACAGGAGTCTAATCCAAGACTTCTTACCCGACAATCCCTAAAATCTGGTAACGCATTTGTAACACCTCTGGTGTTTCAGATGTCTATGGGTGACGCCGATTGCTTACCATCAGGTGATCCGTCGGCTCGTTTACCGATTTATTACATAAAAAAAAATTCGTACATTACAAATTCAACCAACGAGTCAAGTTATGCTTTTTGTTTTATTCACCTCACAGTGGACTACTAAAGAGCATTGTGACATCTTTTAATTCTTGTAGCGTTTGTCCAAAAGTTATAGTCATGTTCTATGAAAATATTATGTAATTTATTGACACAATGGTTTTTTCTCTTTCCAGAAACATACACAACCCGTCAATAGACAAAGACAAGAACACACAATTCATAGTCACAATGGATGGTTACCATCCAAACGCATTTCTAGCAAAGAAATTACTCACAGAAGGCTTACTAAGCGAAGAAGATGATATTAAAAAACTAGAATCATCAGATGCTATAAAAACGCCAGAGATTAAGGAAACTAAAGCAGTAGTAGAAGAAGAAGAAAAAAAAGAGACACCACAGAAGAAAAGACTTAGCAATTCTAGTGCGGAAAGTGATACACAAGTAATTATTAAAAAAGAAGATAATAAAGTGGAAAAGAGAAAGAGTACAGAAGTATTAAAAGTTGATCCTGTACCTGCAAAGAAGAGAAGGGCGTCTCCCATTGTTTTTGATGTCGATAAGAAGAAAGAGGAGAAGGAGAAGGAGAAGGAGCCTGAAAGAGTTAGAGAGAGAACGGAGAGTGCAAGCAGTGATCAACATGTTACTGTCGCAACTGTTACTAATACACATAAATATGATTCTGTGCCGCCTTGTGAGTATTGCTTTTTTTGTTTATTGCATGAATTTGTATGAACTAGTTTTAAATGTAAAGGAATGTTCAGTTAAATTCCCTCTATTTGTAGATACTAACCAACACCCTGTTCAAAATAGTATCACTTTCCTTACCATACTTTATACAATGACTACCACTAAATGTGGGAGACCCATATTTCGGCACGAATAGGCTGACTCGACCGGAGTGATACCACGTCTCACAGAAAACTGACGTGAAACAACGCTTGCGTTTTATTTCGTCGTGTGAGTGAGGTTACCTATTTAATTTCCTCTTCCTAATCTTCCCAATCCCTGAATCCCAAGAATCTTCAAAAGGCCGGTAACGCTTCTAGTGTTCCGGGTGTCCATAGGCGATGCCGATTGCTTACCATCAGGTGATCCGTCAGCTCGTTTACCGGCTTATCCCATAAAAAAAAACGACTACGGTAGATTTTCAAGTAACATTATGGTTTTCCCCCTCAGTGAGTGCGGCGGAGCGCAAGTTGGTGTGGTGCCGCGCGTTCCCGTCGTGCCGGTACGGCGCCGCGTGCGCGTTCTCCCACCCGCGCTGCAAGTTCGCGGCCGCCTGCACGCGGCGCCACTGCGGGTACTCGCACGCACACGCCGCGCTCGCGCCGCCCGCCGCGCCCGCTATTGGTATGTACCTTTAAATAATTACCAACTATAAAGTCAACAATTCCAAACGTTAATATTATTCTCATATCTGAATTTGATATGAATTTTTATTTTTATAATTACTATCGTGAGACATACTGAATTAACTAAACATTGCGGGTTACTCACGTGAAAAAGCTTTACTAGTTTCGAGCTACAGAAGGGCTCTGAGCAGCGTGCACGCTCGCGGCAATGTCGCGCAGCCTACTGACAATCAGCCTTTTTTACAATTTATACCGTTTACACAAATTAAACTTTACACATAAGTACAAAAATTATTCAACAAAAAAATTCTAATTAAAAATCTTTGTTCACAGCGTCCCACGTGGTACCAGCAGCGAATTACAAGACGATATCAGCCATAGTGCCGAACATGTGCAAGTTCTACCCAAACTGCGTGAATCCAACATGTCATTACTATCACCCAAAGCCCTGCCGCTACGGCAAGGCCTGTATCAACAAATTAGAATGCAATTTTTATCACGCAGATGTACCTGCGAAATGGAGATACCCTGTGTAAAATATATTGTCTGATTAATATTATTATGTGGTTGTTTTATTGTTGTCAAATATGGCTGTAGTTTCTAGACCTGCCATTAATCTCTTCGTGTTAGGTTACAATTTTGTTGTATTCTGGTGAATGTAAAATCGGCCCTTAACAAGTCTCTAATCCACAGTAGCGACTTCTCGTGATTACAAAAAATTATAAATACTGACAATTCGTGAAACGTGATTTGTAACTACAAATAAAAAATGCAATGCTAATAGCAATTAATTTATATTTAATGTCTAACGATACATACCTACATACTTAGTTACTATTCATTATACAACAAAAATGCGATACCGAATTATCAAACATTAAAAACAAAAAGAAACGTATATTATACGACAAGTGTGAACGCTTCTCAAAAAAAAATGACTGGAACACCAAAATCTGTTCCTCTTACACACCTCCCAATAACATAATAGGGCCACAATAAGAAAATTATGGGCATTAGGCACGTGTGACCGAATTCGGTGCAAGGCCGACCAATTTATTCCAATTGGGTACCTAATTGAATGCGTAAAAACAGTTCCTTTATTTTTCTCAGATACCTAAACTTATTAAGAAAAAATAGAAAATATGTATGATGTAGATATCTTAGTTACATTTGCTATATTGATCAGGATTTTTTTTAATATTCTGCAATGCTAAGTACCTTTTTTTGAGGGGGGAATTGGGCTAGGCGATAAAGAGTGTCAGACTCTTACTGAATAAAAACCACCCCGTTCCTACCCCTGCTTAACCCGTTAGGCCTTCCGCGGCTCCAATACTAAGTACCTTTATTCTCGATCGTTGATGATGGTGATAATAATCAATTGGTTCTAGGAAAAGACACAGTCATCACAATGACTTTATAAAACTATGAGTTCAAAATAAAATGTGATCGTTCTAGTAATCTAGTTGGTCTTAACTTTACAAGTCTAATTACCGAATGTTGTCCATCATCTTTAACATTTTTACTGACCTAACTGATCCCCAGGTCACCTGCCAAGCATGGGGATCTTACATGGACAGTGGGCACCTAACCTGACTCATGTCGCGGAGAACCTAACGGGTAACCGGGGCTCCGGCTCGACGTGCAGAAGGAACGGGGTGGTTTTTAGTCAGTTAGAGTCTGACACTCCCTTCCGCCTCACCCAGGCGGGAGCAGCCATTCGATGACTTTCCCCCTTAAAAAAAAAAAAACCTGACTCATGACGTCACCAGACCAAGAAGCCAGATCTACTAACCTACTACGGTTTCTGATGACATAATGCGCAACTAAAAATATCCGCATATGTAATAATTAATAATATGCACAATGTTTATAATTAATTTCTTAGATACGGATAGGTATTATCAAGTACCAACTATGTATACGTACAGTCGAGAACAAACATCAAATATTCATAAAATAATATTAAGTATCTATTTATACATAACATCATAACATCACGCCTTTTATCCCCGAAAGGGTAGGCAGAGGTGCACATTACGGCACTTAAATCCACAGTACAATTTAACACCCACTTTTCAGTATTTATGTTATGAGTCCCATGTAATAGGGGGTGAGCCTATTGTCATATAAAGGGCACAATTCCAGACTCCTTGCAACTACTGAGAATTTCTTAAAAAAACCCAGTAATACTTTGCCCGACCCGAAATCGAACCCGAGACCCCTTGCCCGGCAGTCGCACTTGCGACCACTTGGCCAACGAGGCAGTCCATTTATATTACATGAAATACTTATTTTTCATAAAATATGCATTTTCCGGGGTTGTTATTGAAAGCTAATAAAGAAGGAGCACGAAGTACCTATGAAGACAACGGACCAACGACGAATATCCTGTCACATCTGGGATCTGGGACTCATGCAGATGCAGAAGAATCCAGTTCCATGAAAACAGTCTCGAAGTAAAGCATATCAGAAAATGGCACCTTTACAAAACCTGTTAAACAAATCACATTTTCTCGACGAGTGTGCATATCCCTCAAGTGTTAGGGACGTCACCTAATAAAATAGATAGCATAGAAGCATCCGGCGTTCCCTATCATCCTGCTATCATTCGCTCCGTGAATCCACTGTGGGAGGGACCCTAGCCCCAATTTCTAACACTTTGGGACTCCATTGGCACTTTTGGGATAATACGGATCCGTGTCATCTGTTTGTGCTGACTCCTTTCTGGAATTCAAAGGCGAATAATATGGAGGTAAGTACATAAGTGCTTTTGTTTCTTTGTTTATAAAATGAAAAAAAACTGCATTCAAAAAAACTAAGAAGTCTGTAAAAACTAATAATAAACAAAAACTAAAAATAAAAAAAAACTATACCTAATTATTAGGTCAGATAGGTTATTAGTGCTGATAGGTCACCCACCCACTGATAGGCTAGAAGTCGGCCCCAAAAATTTCAGCCGAACATAGTACCTCCTCCTTTTTCTGAAGTCTATAAAAATGGACAGGTTAAAATATTATATTCCTTCTAGGATAACGGAAATGTCTTCATATCAAAGTTCCGCGATTTTCATTTATCGGTCCTCTCTTCGAGATAGAATCTGGGCCAACTAATTTAGAATAGGATCTTATCTTAAACTATTACCTAAAGATATTATGTTGCATACATCACTACACCGCACACCAAAGTAAGCATTCTTACCGCTAAGGTGGTGCCTTTTAATATCCAATGATTGAAAATACCTTTTTATAGAAGACCTATTTGTATAGACTGCCTTGTTGGCCGAGTGGTCACAAGTGCGACTGCCGGGCAAGGGGTCTTGGGTTCGATTCCCGAGTCGGGCAAAGTATTACTGGGTTTTAAAAAAATTCTTAGTAGTAGCACGGAGTCTGGAATTGTGCCCGGTATATGGCAATAGGCTCACCCCCTATTGCATGGGAATGATAACATAAATAGTGAAAAGTGGGTGTTACATTGTACAGTGGCATAATGTGCACCTCTGCCTACGCCTTCGGGGATAAAAGGCGTGATGTTATGTTATGATATGTTATGTCTATTTGTATAGGTACTTACAACTAAAATATATAGGTACTTAATACTGTTATTAATTAGTAAATAGTAATTAATATTGATGACATGATTCACATACATTGATCGATAGTTCAATGAGGGTCACGGTTTATCTACCACGTACAACATAAACCTAGAAATGTAGAATTGTGCACATACTATTTACTAATAGATACATAGGTAGTACGTGCCAATTTTCTATTTACAATATCAATAACATGAATGCGTAAAGAACTAAGGACGGACTATGATAAATATTTAAACATTATATTAGCTGGACCCTTCCTCTGTGACTTTTCTTTCTTATGCATTCGGTATCGTTGGCTACGAAGATCTGCACAGCTCATCATAGCTCTGTTGCGAGATGAAACCTTTAAAAGTAGCCAAAGATTGGACCAGTTTTGTGACTGCGACTGCCAATCTTTTATCAGTATTTATTTATTTAAAAGTGTAAATAAGTCAGTAGCTGCATACCTACCTAAGTGTTAGATACTCATCATCAACAGCCTATAAATGCCAACTGCTGAGCAAGGCCTCTTCTCACACGGAGGAGGTTTAAGCATTAATAATCACCATGCTTGCTCAATGCGGGTTGGTGATTTCAAACTTATAATTAGAAATTATAAGCTTAGGTTTCCTCACAATGTTTTCGTTCACCGTTTGTCAGTGGTGTCTGAATAATCTTAGAAAGTACATATTATGTATAACTCGGAAAAAGTCACATTGGTACTTGCTGTTGGTTTACTGTTAAAAAAGTGTTAGGTACTCACCTAGACTAAATGCATGTTGACTAAAACTTGATATAAAAAGACTAGGTACCTGTGTAGCGTGCCAGTAAGTAATTAGGTAGGTAGGTATTATAACTAATATAATAACCTAATTACCTATGCAAATAAAAAGTCATGTCATTTTCAAATAGTTATATTATCTAACGTTTTTCATTTAGTCCTCAATCCTTCCGCATGTTGCTCTAAATTGGTTTCTTTGTTGCGAAATTATCAGTAGAGTTATTTCGCGTTCCGCGCGCGCCTCAAAGACCCATCAGACCACCATTGGGTTTGGGCCCAATAGCTGATGCCGATACGGAGTCGCAGAGAACCTAACGGGTTATCGGAGCTCCGGCTCGAAGTGCAGGAATAGGAACGGGGTGGTTTTTAGTCAGTAAGAGTCTGATACTCCCTCCCGCCTCACCCAGGCGGGAGCAGTCATTCGATGATTTTCCCTCCTTAAAAAAATCAGTATAGTTATTTGGTATACCACTCAAGTGCGTAACTACAGTGTGAAAAGTCGGCAAAATGCCATGGGCCCCCAGCGGGAAGGGGTGAAACCTCTGCATGGGGGTCTATGCAGAGGTTTTGGGCCCATGCAGGGGTATCTAAACTTCTCTGTGTTTTTTTGGGAACGGGGGCCTACCCAATGAATTTGCTACGGGCCCCGAAAAGTATGCATAGTTACGCCATTGGTACCACTCTGCAAATTGCTCTAGATCTTTGGAATCTCCGCCTCTTTCACGTCATTAGATCAAATAATTAGAATCAGGTGGACTTACATAGTCCTGCCTACCATAATGCCAAGATCGGGAATCATGCCACACGTTGAAGAAGTGATGAGACATCTGGTCGTTTTTTTGCCTGTTGAACCCTATGATTCGTTTAGTAGAATTGCAATCTTAACTTTAGTAGATATCTATCTATATTTTTAAATCCAGACACAAGCCTCACGTTGGTGCCCTCTTTTTGCCCCAAAGAGCAGGGTACTTACTTTTGAAACCATTCTCAATGTCAATGCAATTTCAATCCAATAAAATATCAATCATTATTCAATGTCAAAACTATACAACCCCTGTCATACCTGTGACAGTAGCATTCAGAGCACGGAATATAAAGCCAAACTCAATACCATTTAGTTCATTCAATATCCACGCAATACGAATGCAATGGGCGCTAGTTTTGTATCTCAAGAGTACGAA